AGAAATCCCTAAATTTTTCATAGGCTGCCTTTGCGGGTTTTCAACCTAGCGGGAGAATTTATTCTGTTTGTGTCTCTTATTTTTTCCTAGACTGTCCTTTCGAGTTTTCAGCCTACCGAGACGCTCTTTTTTGCCTAAGCCGCCCTTTTGGGTTTTCGACTTAGCGAGCTATTCTTTAATTTCTTTAGGCGAAGTATTTCTTGACTGCATCAACATTCATAGGACGTGGGAACTTCTCGCCATCCATAGTTTCAAGAATTAATGCACCGCCATAGAAGGCTTTCTTGACAACATATGGACCTTCAAAATTAAGAGTTCACTTACCCCTAGAATTAGTGATGAAAGACATGATCTTCTCGAGCACAAAATCGCCTTCTCTGAATTCACGATGCTTGACCTTCTTAAAAACCACATAATTACCTGACTTGTTAAGACAATTGCAAAGAGCATGATATTTGCTTCCTCAATTCAACTTTCTCACAAAATCAAAGAAGCAAAAAAGAATTAGAAACCAAGCACACAAAAAAAAAAAACTAAACTAAAATGTTGAAGATTAGAGGCTTACAAGGAAATTGCAGCTCTTGAGGATGTATATGGTGATAGAAAAGTCTTATTTAGTAAATGTTTCACAAATCCATTAAAATGGAGAAACAAATTCAAAATAGAAAAACATAAAAAAAAATGACGTAAAATATAATATGTCACCTCCAATGAAGCATCAGATTATTCAACATGCTCAATTGAAACTTTCAAATATTTATCTTGTCCTTCTTGAATAGGAGATTGCGATCGAAGAGTAGCAACATAAATAACCTTCAATTCGCACTCCTTAACCTCATAGCCGAATTCTTTATCGAACTACATGCAATGAGAAAAGAAAATGATTAGAAGAAAAAATTAAACACAATGAATATTTTATGTACTAATATATATGTTACATTTGTAGAGCTATCTATTAAATAATATAATTAATATGTGACTCAAACATTTTGAATTCAAATTCAATGTTTCATATAATGCAAATCCTGAAGAGGTGTTGATACTAATCTAAGAAAAACCATAATTAGTGTAAAGCATGTTATGTCTTAGGCTATGTACACAGTAAGATTAGTTTAGCATATAAATGGATAGCATTATTGTCTTCAAGATTGAATGGAACAACATATCTTACTGCTACTTTTTTGTTAATTAATGAAATTGATGATAGAAAGTAAAATTTATGTACATTAAAATTGCTACAATCATGAATAAGAGAAATAATGGTCTTCAGTTATCAAAAGAAGGCAGCTCATGTTAGAAGTTGTATGATACAAAGTCTATTGAATAGCAATATATCTCAATACATAATCTAATATATCAAAATTTAAGAGTCTTATGCATTGTCACTCTGAACACACTAATGTCACTGTCACTCTAAACACACTAATGCAACTGCTCAAAGCCTTAAACAAATACCTCAAGCCTCACATTCAGCAACTTTCAAAAAAAGTAATTGAATTGTAAACTCAAAAACAAAATATTCTTATGAGGGTTGATCCTCCAACTTCTGGAAAGATTGAATAACAAACAATAATGAATAAAAAGAACAAATTTTCAAAGAAAATAATAAGAAAAAAAGCAGAATAAACCTCAGGGTAATTTACCTCAACCACAAAGGTTTCTTCGTCGGAAAACCTCCAAGACCGGTCAGTTAGAAACTTCCTTCCTTCTGTGAACTTTTGTTACCATGTTGTTAAACTTTGAGCGTTAAACCTTTTCTCCATAATCCCTTGAATATTCCTGCATAAACAAAGTTTAATTTTGAAATTAGGGTTTCGAACCCCAAATTAGTTCAAACTCGTTTTGTGATTTTCTTACTGATTGGTCGTCCGAAAATGACCCTTGAACAATCGTGAGTGCATGTATATGCTCATTCTCACTTGATTGTTGCAAAGGAGATCACATTTGAGACATATGAGGACTTGAGATATTGTGTGAAATGAGAAAAATTGGTACAAGTGAATTTGTGAATTACATTAATGTCCAAACGACAATGTAATTTTTTTTTAGAGGAAAGAACATTTTTGATACTTTATGCAATCTTTTAGTAAGTGTTTGTTAGTAGATTAAAAACTATGAGTAGGGTGGCAAACGGCCATGTTCGTCTGGCAAAAGCCTTCAAAAAAATGAGACAGACGGGATGGACATTGTTGAAGATGTGGGTCTGAAATCTATCCCTGCCCTAAAAAAAAGTGAGGGTGGGACAGGAAGAGCCGTAGACACTCAATTTTTTAAGCCTAAACACAAAAATTTATGTAAATAGTGCCCATAAAAACCTGCATATAAAATGGGGTGGAACGAGACGGACATATTAGATGGCGAGGACTTAAACCCTTGAGTCCATCTCACACTAAAGTACGGATAAAACGGACATGTGCCCAATGGGCCGAGCCCCTTTTACCGCTTCTACCCATGAGTATCAAAAAAAATTTTACCTCAATATAAATCAACAAATCAATACATTAATATGAATTCTTTATATGAAATACCATATCCAAATAAATTATATATTATATTATTAAAACAAAAAAAGCACAACCTTATTCCTCTAAATCTCAAGTTCATGCGTCAAGGCTTTGTCTAGCGAATCTTTCAAGGTAAAATGTCACTTCTCAGTTCCCATTGGCATCTTTAACCTTTGAATTTGTTTCTTTTCCGTTTCCCTAATTATATCGGAAACCTTTCTCTGCAATGCAAAGAAATCTATAAGATAATTATGCCAAAGAAATTAGGGTTTTTAGCTTAATTGGATAGCTGATTGTGAATTTTAGGGTTACAATAGACACCCAAATACTGTCCCTGTAAATTCTGTTTAATAGTTGATTAATAGTCCAAATGGTATTATAAAAATTGATTTTTTATTGATTTTTGCTTGTTTAGAATTGACCTTTGTGGTGATGAAGTTGATTTGTTACTGGGTTTGGGATACATGTTTATGTGTATTACAGTGATGAATTGAATAATCTTTTCTCAAAATTATATCTTTTAGATGGTGAATTTGGTTTCTTTCTGACACTTGTTGAACACCGACACTCGTATGACCACTGTTTGTTAATCGCGGAAAACATAAAACGATGATTTGTTGAAATAATACCACAGAATAGTGGTATAGCTTTTTTTTTTTTGCTTTCGCACTCTGGTTCTCAGGGGAAAGGGGCCCTGGTAATCCAGAGTTCGTGCTACGGAGGCACGTGCACCGGCCAAGCGTTGTTTCTGCCAGGAATTGAACTCGGTATTTCCCGAATGTTGTCTTTTGCAGAGACTCATTTGTCACTCGAGCCCAAGCGCTTGGTTAAATAGTGGTATAGCCTTGATAACATTTTGTAGTAAATAGCATATTGTAGAACATTAGCGATTTTGTTTAAATTTTGTTTCCGCTATTTAACAACATTGTGTACAAGACATGTCAGTCACTCCATTTCTGCTTCTTTTTTTATGACATCTGACACGTTGAGTGGTAGTATCCATAGTAGAAAAGATGGTGAAAATAGGTTAGGTGGTTTAGATATGTAGAGAGAAGAAGTCTTATGAGTTCTGTAGTAAGGAGAGTAGATCAGAGGGAGGATAACAAGCCAACTAGAGGCAGGTGAAAAAATCTATAAAAACCATAAGGAAAACTATTTAGTGTGATCTTGAGATTAACGAGTATGATAGAACCATGGTTTTTGATAGAATATTATGGCGTAGTTTGATCCATATAGCCGACGTCACTTAGTGGGATAATGCTTGGTGACCACATTGTTCAGTAGTACTTCATCACCATCATCTTGTCGTAGAATTTAATTTTTTGTAATGAAACAAAGCACCTAAATTGTATAATGATGTTTGTTAATATTTCTGGTAATACTCATTATCATAGGATATATGTAATACTGATACCTAACAAGTTATTTTGATGTGATGTGAATATAGAAAATTAGAAATATTGAATTTCAATATTTGCTCATGTTGTGGTGTCTTATGTTTTTCACATAGCTGGTGTCTAGGGCCCATGTCGTGTCATGTCCTATGGCTGAGTCCGAGTCCGTACTTTATGTGATCTCTAGTTCTCTACTGATGGTGAAGAGCATTATCAGCAGTGTTGTCGATGGCGGGAACCAAAATCCCATCATACAGAGCGCTTTGCGGCACCATTATAGCGAATAATGGCAAAAATCTCGCAAGATCGGCCAATATTAAACATTATGGAGAGCCCAAAAGCCGCCGTGTATATCTGCCATAACGCCGCCATGGCAGATATTTGATAACACTCATTATCGGAGTAGTAATATTGTATATTTTAATAAGTGATTTTGCGAAATGATAGTTTGAAGCAAAGGGAGTAAATAAGTTTGAACATTGACGAACCAAGGTCTGAAATTATTAAAATTCATAGATTATTTGTAGCTACTACTAAAGTTCATTGATCGAGAGCTAGATTATAATTCAAGTTCAATTAGTTTCGTTGCTTTTCAGCTCACTGTTTTTGCATTCAAGCTGCGTCATTTGCTAAGAAATGAAGAAGCTATCTATCTAATTTACAAAACTAATCAAGTAGCATAATGAGACACTGATAAGACAGTAGTCAAATTATCAACTGCTTATGCTTAGTACATCCAATTTATGCAAAAGATTTATTTTCTTTCCTTGGATTTGGAAATAGAACAACACTTTAGATCTTCACCACTTTGTATTTTTTTGTTAATCTGCAATATGTGCCAAATTCTGTTTTTCCACATTGCTTTAATTACATTGAACTATAGTTTCTCGCTGTCTTCTTTTTTGTTTGCTGGGAACTGGTGGAACAATATGATAGAAACTGATACCAATAAAAAAATATGCTTGAGAAATAAATAACAACAGTTTATTATTGGATATATTTTTAATTTTTTGGTGGTTAACAATGTTTCTGTTATTAACGTTTTGCGTCTTTCTTAATTTCAGGTGCAAGAAAATAAAGAGCACAAAGAGTGAATAAAGAAATGGCATCGTTATTAACTCATACCAATCACATGCTATATACCTCCACTTTCCCGATGCCACGTTGTAGAAGTCAAGGATTATTGAAATCTGTAAAACCATTCCAACTCCATCGATTCAAATTTCCAAGTATTCGCATTAATCAATCCTTCATACGCTGCACAAAGTTAACTCCATGGGACCCATCACCCATTGCATACGCTCCTACTGATGATCAAAGCGATGATTTCTTGCAGAGTACTGCCGATATATTTGAAACCCTTGAATCTACTCAAGTGGATGAGTCACAAACAGTAAACACTGAAGGGCTTGTAGAGAAAAACGATCAGCCAGGGCAGGAGCTTCAGTTTATCAAGTGGCCGATGTGGCTTCTCGGCCCTGCCGTTCTCCTTGCGACAGGCATGGTCCCAACATTATGGTTACCAATATCTTCAATCTTTCTAGGTTCCAACATAGCGAGCTTACTTTCCTTGATTGGACTCGATTGCATCTTTAACCTCGGCGCAACACTTTTTCTCCTCATGGCCGATTCATGCTCAAGACCTAAACATCCAACTCAAGACTGCAAAAGCAAGGCTCCCTTCAGTTACCAGTTCTGGAACACTGTTGCTACCTTCACCGGATTCATCGTCCCGCTTTCAATGATGCTTGCTTCTCAAAAGGGCTTTCTCCAACCTCAACTACCTTCCATCTCATTCGCAGTCCTGCTAGGTCCTTATCTTCTTCTTTTATCAGTACAGGTTCTGACCGAGTTGTTAACTTGGCATTGGCAATCACCAGTCTGGCTCGTTACACCTATCATTTACGAGTCATACCGTGTCTTGCAGCTAATGAGAGGATTAAAACTCGGAGTTGAGCTAAGTGCACCGGAATGGATGATGCATACAATTAGGGGTCTGGTTTGCTGGTGGGTGCTCGTTCTCGGTCTGCAGCTCATGAGGGTTGCTTGGTTTGCCGGTTTAACTGCTGGAGCTCGAAAGGATCAATCGTCTTCTTCTGATACTTCTGCTGCTAATGGTATTGGTACTAATTAAGTCCAAATTCTGTGAGAAACAAATAATAGCTCAAGTACATATGGTTTAAAGTAACGTAGTTATTATGGTGAAACTGATAGTGATACACATTTAAAAGCTATATATACAAATAGAATGTAGAATGATGATAATGGTATCTAGAGTCTAGGAACATATTCCTTTCATTCAGAAACAATAAATATGCTCACTTTATTATCATTCAGAAATATAAATATCTTTTGTCAGTGTTTCTTAATAGCTTCTAGTAGTAAATTTCTAATATTAAATTTCTATAAAAACTTATCATTTTAAGTTTTTAAATATTTTTCTTATTAAATTCAGTAGTATTACTTTTGAAAATATTAAAAATAACTTTTTCTAATATTTTTATTGTTTTTAGAAAAATGTAAATAGAGTTTTAGCTGCCTAGTTTTTCAATGAAAATGTTACAAAAGGATCTAGTTTTCTAAAAATGTGATATTTTGGTTGTTAAAAATAACAATTTTAACAGGCTAATTTTCCAGGTTTGGTGTATATATATCACTTAATATCATAAAGAAAATGAAAACAATGTAAGCTTTTGATAGTAAAAAATATATTTTAGAATAAAAATAAAGTAAAAATTATATATATTTAAGTTGTTTCTTAATTTTTTTAAAGTTCTGTTTGAGAGTTAAGAAGAAGAGAGAAAATAGATAGAAATCTTCAATGTTATTTGAGAGAAGAATTTTGCAGAAAATAATGTATATTTTTAAAAATAAATTTTTATTTTTATTTTTTATTTTTAGAATATTACAACAAACATGGCCAGAATTTACAAGATTTATCCGAAGCACCCTAAACTCTCTAATTTTTTTTATTTAATTTATTTTTATTTAATTTTTCCTAATCATGAAAGTTCTGTATTATAAAAAGAAACCTTAATTATTTACACTTCCCATTTTCGCAAAGAATTTAAAAAAATAGGTGTTCGATAAGTTATTGGTTTGGTATTCTAGCTGGACGATAATCATTATCAGTAACTATTTTCATAAATTAAATATGTAATAAGAATTTGACATTTTAACCTCTAATGACAAAGTTCACAATTACCCTAAAAGATATTATAAATTGATTATTTATGTTATTTTAATTAATAATATCAATTTTTACTATGGCATAGTACTTAAATTTGATGCTTAGTCCTCAATCTTCTCTTATATCTACATGTTCACTCAAACTAAAAGACGAAATGATTGGTGATTAACAACAAACTTATAATGAACTTAATAAGTTTAATTGTTGGAAACATGGGCTTGTTTTAATACGTTAAATTAAAAAAAAAAAATTGTTAGAATATTTTTTTAAGTTGAAAAAATTCTTTAGTCTCGTATTGTTTAATTTGAAAATCTTAGTTAATTTATTTTATTATATAAGGAGTAGACATATTTCATTTTTACACTAAATTTTTTTTTTTCATTCTCGTAATTCTGAGTTTCTCGAATTGTCGAATGTTAACTTCTTCCCCTTTCTTCCCACTTGTTGAATTTTCTGAATATTTTCTTGAATTCTCTTTAAATTATTATGAGTGATCAAATGACTATTATGAAATTCTCTTTGGAGAATTATTTGAGTTTATCTTCGATTGAAAAATTATTAAGTAGTATTGATATCATATTTGAATGGTCTTGTTTCATTAAAGGGTGTATTTCTAGACCGATTATCTATCGAGCAAGTAATAATCGTATAATATAGAACGAAGCTATTTTATCTTAGAGGTGACGCGATAGTTCGATTGTTTTACATAATTTTAGACAGTAACATGAAACGTATTAAAGAGAGCGAACCAATCGCGACTCAACCCGATAATTTCTTTGATGAAATATTTTTCAAAACCCTGAAACAACATTAATTAATGCAAAAATAAGGAAATATGTCTTCAAAATTTATTTCTCTAGTTGGTGCAAAAACATGGAAACATGTGCTTAATATTTGTTTGCTTGTGGATATTAGGTTGATGCAAAAATATGGAAACATGTGGCTAAAGTTTGGTATGCTTATCAGGATTTTGATAAGTATGTTGTATTTATTAGTGGTGGTTGGTGTCACTTAAAGCTTATTGGTGAGTTATAGGAAAAGGATATGTCACAAAAGTCTGAAAAAGATGTTCACTAATCTCTTTGATTTATCATAGAAGCAAATACGTGATAAAACACATGATTTAGTTTATTTTTGAATTAAATAAAATTTTAAAAGATTTAGTTTATTTTTGAATTAAATAAAATTTTAAAAGTTTTATGTTTTGTTTTTTCCCCTTATAAAGAAGTTACTCTACTTTGGTGTTCCAAAATATCTACTACCACATTGTTTCTTCTCTTTTCTCTTATAAGTCATTGTTATTTTAACTAAAAATTTTTTTAATATTGTTTTATTATGAGAGAAATTAAATATGACATTTAAAAAAAAATTAAGATGAAAGCAACTACAATATAGATTTATAAATCAAATTTTAAACTGATGCTTTGTGAAGAAGCTTATTATAATTTTCTAAACCTATTTCTGAAAAATCATTCAAATATACATTACACCTTGGGGAGTATAAGAAAGCTGAAAATAAATTACCAAGTTCAATCTTCTATGATCAAAGAAAAGGAAATGATATATCTTAATCAAAATTTTTAATGCAATAGGTATAAGAATTACTCTCGGTTTAATTCGATTTTGATGTTTAGTTAAAAAAAATATGTGATCGGATCTAATTTTACGAGATTTAATTTAAATTTATTTTTAATATTTAAATTATAAATTATAATTTTTTATTAGTAATATTATAAAAGCAATATGAAATAATAGTATTTAGATTCTTTCACGTTTTTTTGAATCCAACTCTCTCTTTTTTCTAATCTAATTGTTGATTGTCATTTAAAAAAAACAATAAAATTAGAGAGAGAGAAACAAAAATAAATCAATCATTGGTATTAGAGCATGATGGAATAAAAGGACCCAATCCAAAATAATATATTAAATGTAAAATGTAATATATAACACAAAATAATATAAATTTTATATTTTAAAATAACAACAATCAATTATATTTAAAACAATTGAAATGGTAAAATAAATAGGATAAATTAAACTAATTAATAATGTTAAAACAAGCTAAATTCAAACTAATAAAAAATCAATGCAATATATCATACTAATAAAAAATAATTAAGTAATAAAATATACTAATAAAAAATAATTAAGTAATAAAACATATACAATCGATTTGGTTTTATATGGATTATTTTTGAAAAAACACTCTGAAATCCAATTCAATTTAAATATTTTTTGTTAGGGGAGAATATTGGCTTAAATAGTGTAGAGGGAGTTGAATAGACTATTTCCAAAAAATTAATTTAAAAAAAAATCTTTTTAAAATCATACTTTAATAAAATCGTTCGGCATAGCAAATTTTTTACACAATATATGGAATTTGAATAATTGTCGTATTGTTGGCTCCTAAATTCGACACCCTTGTTTTATTAATGTCAACCATTAAAGCTGAAGGATGTCTTCGACTGGCTAGATCCGTCGAAATGCCCTTCGAAAGATGGCAAGGTACTTAGAAGATTTCTTCCAAGGGAGAAGTTGGTTGCCTTCGACGTCGAAGGTATTTCTCGTCGAAGATGCTTCTCGACGATGATGTTCGATGGTTCAGAGTGGAGCAGTTTGAAATTCAAGCGTTTGGAGGGAAAACGGTTTCCAGCAGTTACCAAGTGCAACGTGCGAAGATCTGGAGCGTCGAACGCTGAGAACGTGCCAAGTGGATTGATCTCGAAGCAGTGTAACTGCCCGACGGTTACTTGGGATGTTTTAGTATAAATAGTAGTAGTCATGTAAGTTCTCGCGTGTGTTCACAATTCTATACAAAGTCACTCATATAGATTCGAGTACCCAGCGCGTGAGAAAGAATTGTTGAGAAATGTATGTGTGAAACACCAACTTTATTAATCAAAGTCATTTACTTTTCCAGAAATTTACTTGCTTTCCTCTTTACATTCCTGTCGAAGCCTTTTACTTTAAGCCTTATTTATTTTACCAAGTCCTTTCTTCATGCTATTTACTTAAAGCCTCTTATTTTATTGTCATTTAAAGCCTTATCCAATTCAATCAAAACTTCAAAATCAACCTATGTCCTAGGATCAATCTGATCGATCCTGCGAGTAACCAAATAAGTAACCATTTGGAGGATCAGCAGTTGTTTACCAAATACCAAGGTAAACAAATTGGCACACCTGGTGGGACCGTGTGTTGATTGTTGAAAATAATCTCATCTTCTCAAGGAGTGTTGTATGTTATTGAGAAGCGGTAGAATATACACTAACGATAACAATACTGCCAGAAGGAGGGAAGAGATGGTGAATCCGCCAAACAATAACGAAATCCCACAAACGAGTGTGGGAGCAACGGTTAATACGACCGTAAGTGAAGCGACAACTGTTGGTTCGACACCAGCAGTAACGGTCACAGCAACGGGGCCGTTACTTTCGTTTACAGGCCCCAGAGCGCCTGTGGGAACTCCCCCACCAAGGGGAAATATAGGCACAAGGCCTTTTGTTCCCCCAGGATTCATGCCACTTTATGGTATGCCAACTTCTTAATTGGCTAGCCTGACGAATGCTACGTCCACTTTTTCAGACCCTTTAGTGAGTGCCTCTTCGCCACTCCAAGGTTCTGGAGTAGGCATGGCGAATAGAAATAGGACCCAACTCTTAGGAGGAACGTCCCAAGTAGCCCATGGCCTTACAAATGCCTCGACAGCAGTCTTGAGGCAACAAATGGACGAAAGCAACCATGATATGGTGCAAATGTTGGCACAAACTTTGAGTACAGTGCTAAATCCTCTAATACAAAACACTACTCAATCGAATCAGCAAGTGACAGCGCAAATGACGCGTTTGGCTGATTTCTTTGGAGTACCCCAACCTATTCGACAGCCCCAAAGGGCGCAAATAAGGGGAAACCAGGGGATATTCTTAGAGGAAGAAACCACCATC